ATAGTTTGTAGGCTACAATTTGCAAGCGTTTGCATCATAGAAAGTGGCAACGCTCATGCAGCTATTGGGGCTATCATGTTCGTTTTAGCTCATTTTAGACTTTAACGGTAGCGGTCAGTCACCTGAGGGTCAATTTCATGTGCCCTCCTGCTCACGCCTATCCCGTCTACTCCTTTCCCTTGGTTCTAGCTCAAGTCCAACGTGAGAGTTCTAACATGAAAAGTAATTTTCGATTGTCCCTTATCTTTGATTATAAACTTTGTAACCTGGACACTGATAATAAAGGCACTCCAGTTCCCTTCAAAAAATGTCCCTTCGTAGAGTTGTTATGCTTTGCCTTCAAAGCATCCGTCTTTCATTTTTTCACCCGATCCACTAACGAATATCTGGGGTTTAACGTAAAGACGCCGTAGTGGAGCATTGCGGAAATTTGGACCACCTGTGGTTATTTAACGTGGACCCAAAACTGGGCACACGGGCCTACAACAGTTTCGTCTCTATCGAAAATCTTACCCAGTGCTGTACCGGTTTCGGACGAATTGATCATCCGCCTGAAAATGTCACCTACCCCGGTTCTCGCTCTAAAATACGTCGTCACCCAGTGAAACCTCGAGCCAGAGCACTATTCAGCGTTTACTACAAGGCAATATTCTTTCTTTTAAATCTCTGTGAATTTGTTTTGCATGAACTTAACAGGAACCGAGCCATAAGTCACATTGCTGCTCAATACAGCAGCAAATGCGTTAACCTATGATTGCATGTTTAACAATATATAAATAAAAACATCGTTTTTTATTTATTTATTTCAAATACCCTCAGGGTACAAACGTACATTGAAGAGGGGAGGGGCAAAGAAAGTTAACACGTAATAATAACTTGGTTATAGTTTTAAAAATACAGAAATGAATTATCACGATGACACTTTAAACAAATATCAGTTACAAGAACAAAGGCCAATGAACCAAAATGAATAACACAGGAATCAAAACACTGGACTGTCCTGGAAGAATTACAAGATTTTATCATTGGATGCACTGCCAAAAGAGATATAATGAAAAAAAAAAAAAAAAAAAACATAATGTACAAAAAGTAGCCACTCGCAAAACTAGAATACGAGAAGCATAGCAACAAAAGGGAAACATATAAAAAAAGAAAAAAATTAAAGGTATGAAACAAACACTGAACGATGTTAACTCGAAATGAAACTTCGAAGTGCGATTTTGAAATTATTGGTGTTAGTTATGCTTGTGAGTGATGCAGGCAGATTGTTCCAGTCTCTGGTCGTTGTGGGGAGAAATGAGTGTGAAAAGCCGACGGTGTTGCTGTGTGGAATGTTTACCTTTTGGCGATGGTCGATGCGGGATGAAATGTACGGCGGTGGCTGAAGAAGCATAGAATGTAAATATGAATTGTGGTAGTAGATTTTATGGAAAAGATAGAGTCGAGATAGTTTTCGGCGATGTGATAGCAATGGAAGGTGTAGAATGTCTTTCATGTTAGTAACACTCGCAGTTCTTTGGTAATTGTTTAAAATGAAACGGACTGAGCGATTTTGTATTTTTTCTAGTAATTTTATGTGGTTCTGATATCCGGTGTCCCATACTGACGATGCATACTCAAGCTTCGGACGAATGAAAGTTGTGTACAGTAGTAGTTTTAATGAAGATGGCGCTTGAGGAAACTTCCGGCGAAAATATCCTAATGTGCTAGTGGCCTTGGTGGCTATGTAATCAATATGAGTTTTCCATGAAAGGTTATTGGTAATATGGACACCCAAGTATTTGTACGATGTTACGCATTCTAGTGGGATGTTATTAAGTGTGTAAGTAGGGGAAGTCACTTCAGCACTGGAAATCCTCATACTTTTGCATTTTCTAACGTTTAATTCCATACGCCATAATTGACACCATTTAGTTATGTTATTAAGATCTTCCTGAATTAGTGAAATGTCTGCGGCATCCGTCACCTTTCTATACAAGACGCAGTCATCTGCAAACAGGCATATTTTCGAAGAGACATTAGTAGGCAAATCATTAATATAGATTAGGAATAATAAGGGACCAAGCACAGACCCTTGCGGGACACCAGAATCAACAGGAATCAATGAGGAGTTAACGTCGTTAGCGGCTACAAACTGAACACGTGATGTTAGAAAGGCGCGAATCCAATTAATTACAGCTGTGTCGATGTTTAGAACGCTTAGTTTATGAAGTAGCAGTGCATGGTTCACTTTGTCGAATGCTTTAGAGAAGTCGAGAAATATACAATCTGTTAAAAAAACCGCCATCTAGATTAGAGTGGAGAAAATGAGTGAAGGCTATGAGCTGAGTGTCACAGGAAAAGTTTTTGCGAAATCCATGCTGCGAAGCTGTGAAGAAGTTGTTATGTTCGAGAAAATTAACCAGATGTGTGTAAATTATATGCTCCATAACTTTGCAAGGCACTGATGTAAGAGAAATCGGTCTATAATTTTGTGGGTCATGGGATGGTCCTGATTTGTGAATAGGGATGACTCTGCCAGTTTTCCAGTCAAACGGTAAGGTACCCGAGTTGTAAGATTGCGAGTAAATATGTTCTAGTATGATTGAGCAATATTCGGCAGTGTTTTTTAAAAAGATTGCATTGATTTCGTCTACCCCGCATGATGCTTTAGATTTTAGTTTCTGAATGATGCTTTTGATACCAGTGGAGTTGAAGATTATGGGATGCATTGAGTGGTATTGAGTAGGATGGATCTCAGGCATCGGACCGGGAAGGTTAGGTGATGAGAATGACGAAGCGAAAGTTTCATTGAGCAGAGTAGAACACATATGCTCCGGTACAGGGCCCCCAGAACTTGTCAGCAGTGATATACCATTTTTATGAGCATTTCCCCGGATAATCTCCCAAAAGCGTTTTGGGTTAGCCTGTATTAAGTTTGGAAGCGTGGATTTAAGGAAGGAGACTTTGGCTGATTTTAGTGCTATGAGATATGAGCTTGCAGCGTTTTTGTATGTTAGCCAATGAGACGGTGTTGAGTGAAGTTTAGCTGTGCGGAATAAACGTTTTTTCTTATTGGATAATCGATTCAAATATGTACTATACCATGGTGATTTATTGTTAGCGTAAACAGTCCGAAGGGGGACATATTTGGTTATTAGCTCACCGATTTTATTTTTTAAAATGAACCAGTTAGTTTCGACGGAGCGTTCTAGATAACTAGGTAAAAAAGTGGCCAGAAACAGGCACAGTTCATTGTTGATGGCCTCATAATTAGCTTTTTTATAATTTCGAATCTTTTTCCGCTGTCGCTTTATCTTTTGATGAGGTGTTGTAATCGTGAAGAGCAAGATGTCGTGATCGCTCAGCCCTGGCATGTGTGTTACTGTAGAAACTTTATCAGTTGATGTCGTTAGAATCAGATCAAGGAGTGATGATTTGTTTTTGTTACACGTGTTGGAAGTTTGACTATCTGGGATAAGCCGAAGTCAGAGCAAACTGAAACGAACCGATTGGCTTCAGCCGTTGAGGGGTTAGAAAAAGGGATCGAATGAGACCAGATGATGTCAGGAAAATTAAAATCACCCAAGAGTATAATTTGAACTCCCGGGAAACGCATGGTAACCGCATTTAAACTGTCGTGAATGTCATCACAAAAAGATGAGTCACTTGATGGGGATCTGTAGCAGACACCTAATAATATTTTCTTAAAACTAATTGTTAGGCAACACCAAATAAGCTCTAAATTCGAGTTGATTGGCACAAGAGAACAATTTATGGATTCTTTAACAGCGAGCAAGACGCCACCACCAATCCTACCAGTTCTGTCACTTCGGTAAACAGTATAACGGTTTGCACACTCAAAGAGTTCGGGGTTTGTTATTTTGCTACTTAGCCAGGTTTCTGTCAGAGCAATAATGTCGGCGTTACAGTCATCAATTATACCACAGAATTCATCTTTCTTGGGAAAATAACTACGAATGTTGGTAAAAAGGACTGAACACTTGCACTCGTTTATGGCTCCTCCCCTCAGATGTCCCTAACTCGGCGGTAACCTACGACCTGAGCGAAGAGTTCTGCTACGTTCATGCTCGTGTGTGGGTTTTTTTCTGTGTATTTCGAAAATGCAGTTCTTCGCTTCGTCGTATCCGTAAGATTTGCCATCGAATGTCAGCGTTTTATACCGAAGTTTGAAGGACGTGGTCCTTGATTTACCGTATTCTATTAGTTTTTTTCTTATGTTGCGCGTTGTTTGACAAAAATCTTCGCTCATTGCTATGTCAGTGCTCTTTAGCAAACCTCGTTTTGAAAAAACCAGCTCTCTCTTTTTAAATGTTTCAAATTTCGTTATAAGTGGTCGAGCTTTCGCTGAATCATAGCGTCCTATTCTGTGAGCGCGGCATATATCAGAACTTGTGACATCAATTTGGATAGTATTAGTCAGGAGGTTGATGATCTTTTTTTCCGATTCCGAAGAAGTTTCATCTGCGGCATCTGGAATTCCATAAAAGACAAGATTGTTTCTCCGCGATCGATCCTCTGCGTCATCAAGACGCGAATGCATATTACTAGTGTCTTTTTCAAGGCGCTCAACAGTGGTGCGTAGTTCTTTCATTTCATGCTGCCAGTGCTCGAAAACGGAGGTTTGGTTTTCAACTTTCGCCAGTCTGTCCTTTATTTCGTTCATTGATTCTGAAACTGACTGTTGTTGTTCTTTTAACACAGATACGGTGTCCAATATTGTTGTTTGCGCTGATTCCACCTGGGTTGCTTTCTACATCCCCACAAAGAAGTAGTAGCAAAGAACAAAAAGGCAAGAGAACGGCTTGTGGGCACGGAAGCACAACAATAAAGGGTTCATCAGATCGGAAGCTACGACAAGGCAGTTTAGAAAGGTAACTAACCTGCAAGACGAAAGACAGGTGCGTAAGCCTTTGGCTGTTCTTTCCATCGCGCTTCCGTGCCCACTGCAGTGATAGTGCTCGATGCTGGGTCTTATCCTATCCGGACAAGATGACGTTGATGTCGCAGCTGCGCACTGGTGGTGCTGCAGGTGGCGCTCGACGATGTTGGTCAGGTCCCAGCAAGCTGTTTCTGGCAGGTCTGGTGAAGGGGCAACAGCACAGATTCCGTCCGATAATGGAAGATCCGGGGAAGGGGCGGCTTCACGAATTCCGTCCGAGAGCGCGAAGCTTTCCCGTAGACCAGCCACTGGTACGCCGGCCGCGAAAACAGCGACGTACTGCAAGACGAAAAGACAGGTGCGTAAGCCTTTGGCTGTTCTTTCCATCGCGCTTCCGTGCCCACTGCAGTGATAGTGCTCGATGCTGGGTCTTATCCTATCCGGACAAGATGACGTTGATGTCGCAGCTGCGCCACTGGTGGTGCTGCAGGTGGCGCTCGACGATGTTGGTCAGGTCCCAGCAAGCTGTTTCTGGCAGGTCTGGTGAAGGGGCAACAGCACAGATTCCGTCCGATAATGGAAGATCCGGGGAAGGGGCGGCTTCACGAATTCCGTCCGAGAGCGCGAAGCTTTCCCGTAGACCAGCCACTGGTACGCCGGCCGCGAAAACAGCGACGTACTGCAAGACGAAAAGACAGGTGCGTAAGCCTTTGGCTGTTCTTTCCATCGCGCTTCCGTGCCCACTGCAGTGATAGTGCTCGATGCTGGGTCTTATCCTATCCGGACAAGATGACGTTGATGTCGCAGCTGCGCACTGGTGGTGCTGCAGGTGGCGCTCGACGATGTTGGTCAGGTCCCAGCAAGCTGTTTCTGGCAGGTCTGGTGAAGGGGCAACAGCACAGATTCCGTCCGATAATGGAAGATCCGGGGAAGGGGCGGCTTCACGAATTCCGTCCGAGAGCGCGAAGCTTTCCCGTAGACCAGCCACTGGTACGCCGGCCGCGAAAACAGCGACGTACTGCAAGACGAAAAGACAGGTGCGTAAGCCTTTGGCTGTTCTTTCCATCGCGCTTCCGTGCCCACTGCCGTTGATCCCTCCTTCTGGTTTTGGGACGGTAAACCCCACATATCACTAAATCAAATCATCCTCCTTCGTAGAAATTTGTAAAAGACCAAAATAAAACGTGTCCTAACAGGGGTGCTAATGCAAGTCGCCCGATCACCTCGTTCAGAATAGTTTGCTCCATGCTCGCTTTTCGGCGGTCTTCCCGCGGAGAACGTGATAACGGCGTTGATAAAAAATTGGCCCCGTATCTGCATGTAATCTGCAAATTTCGTCGAAAGACGATAGTCTTGCGTGTGGAGAGAGTGAACAAAACATTTATTTGATGTTCTGCGCAAGAAAATCGGTGAATGGTATTCCGGAGGCGCTGCGTTAGAGTGCCTTGAGCGTGCAGTGGAGGCGAACGAGCGCATCAAGTCACGTCACACGTGAGACATGACCACCATCTGGCAGTTTCTTTTGGAAAATAAAGCGCGTGGCCGTGCGCGCCCGTCTCAGAGGTGATAAAGTGTAGAACGAGGCGACGGGTAGGTGCTACCACTATCTCTTCTTAACAAAGTGTTGGAAATACTCCACGTTCTGTGCAAGCGTTGCATGGTAAGCACAGCGTGATAAGCACTACTAACCATAAAATTACCTAAGTATGCATTTTATAGTAAGAGATGCATATGCCGAATATATGCGTGTTGTTATGGTGCCTCAGACATGCGCAATAATTGATTTTAATTGACGATTGCAAAAGCATGAACGCTCAACCTTGAGCAACATTGGTGGTCGCTCGGGATGGGGTCGGCCGTTTGAAGTACCCGATGCCGGTAAGAATGGACAAACAGACAATTGCACAGACAGACAGACAGACAGACAGACAGACAGACAGACAGACAGACAGACAGACCAAGAATGACCAAACTTTTTCCGTCGAAGGTCCCAAAGAAAGACTATATCGTCTTTAAGATAGATACAAGATGTTGTAGGCCCGTGTACTCAAATTTGGGTGCACGTTAAAGAACCACAGGTGGTCGAAATTTCCGGAGCCCTCCACTACGGCGTCTCTCATAATCATATGGTGGTTTTGGGACGTTAAAACCCACATATCAATCAATCAATCAAGACAGATACAAGAACGTGCGTGGCACTAAAAATGCTTGGGTGGAATTCGCGGCTCTAATCAAAGAAACACCACGTGTGTACACGTCTGCTCCGGCACTCAGTCGACATATCAGCAGTGTAGGACCATCAATCAGCTTGATTGTCGCGCTATCTTTTTTGCAAACTCAACACGTGCCTCCCACAGGCGTGTTCATAGGCGTTCGTGCTCTTTCGGGCAAGTACTTTTGTTCTATCTGCAGCATCCTTATTTCCACACTCTAAGGTAGAAGGACAGCACACGTGGCACTCTCGAGCACACGTGGCACTCTCGTGAAATTGAATGGGAGACTTCGTCGCCTGGTGATTAAATAACTTTTACTTCAGCGTGCGTGTGGGCATAGTCTGTGCGATAAAGCTGGTAGATGTACCTTTCCGCTCGCTGGCGTTACCGTTGGAGCACTGTTCCTGGGCAAGAGAAAATGCGAAAAAAAATATTAACGCGTGAATTCGTATACATACTCGTTGATTCTGTGAAGGCTCCAGTTGGACTGTCATGCTGCCAGTGTTACTGGCAAGTGTTTCTCGCGACGGACGCTAGGCAGTATCTTATTTACATATAAAATGATTTTACTCAACCTCCACTAATTGTTCAAGGGGGCTCTATGAAGGAGCCTGTGATATAGCTTCTTGCAGATTTGTGAGTGGGGGGTCTACTCATCTGCTTAGTGAGCTTCAAAATCAAAACCACATAGGTTTTGTCCTAATTGTGTACATAATAATCAACTAGGGCCTAATGAACATATAACGGCCATTTTGCCTTGAATAACAAGGTTTCAAGTAAAACGACAATATTTAGTATGGAGCTATTGAACGTAATCCTAATGAACCTAGATGTAGATAATATATTCAGTAATCATATACTGGTTTTGGGACGTTAAACCCAACATATCAACCAAGATATTATATTCAGTTCCAAATCTCATGGTCTTACTTAGCGTGCTCATGATTACAATCGCATTTGGTTTCGGGACGTTAAACCCCACATATCAATCATTACAATCGCATTACTTAGTATATTTTAGCGCGTCAACTAGCATACCTCAGTTAGCACGGTTCGAGCTTTACATGGCTATTAGGTCTTATTAAGATGTGGCGTTTTACCTTGGTCGTACCACCGATTGGCTTAAATACCTAGGTCATAGCATGTTCTCCTGACCTATCTTGCCAAGTATACCGCTTAGCCAAATAACTAATTAGCCAGTCGCACGTGCTGTAATCCTAGCGGATGACGAAGACGACCACGAAGAGCCGAACCGGCTGAACAGAGCGCTTGAATGCACAGGTCCACCACACCGATAATACTTGTCCTTGGGTTTGGCTGCGTCGCATTTTTGTAAGGCGCTGGGCCTTACTAATCTCAGAGGCCACCATGCTGAATATTTCAATGCAGATTTCATGAACGCCTTGATAACTTCAAATTCAATTTAAACGACCTTACTTTAAAAATATTATCAAAAAAATGTTCTTCACACCTTTCTAACAACGGTAGATTTTAGTGCTCAGTGACAAACAAACGAACAAAAAATGGAGTCTGTGGTCTGAAACACCACCCCACTTTGTCGACCATCTTTGACACGATGGCGCATTCTATCGTAAGCGATCAAACGCAGCGCGCAACGGTTTGGTTTTTTTTTTACAATTGGCTCATTCAAAACGGGCTTTCACCTGAGCAGGATCAGAGTGTGCTAAGAGAGTGAGCATGGTCTCAGAAGAAGCACGTCGTCAAGTGTACGCTTTTGTGTGTTTGACCATTGTTCTGATAAGAAACGTAGCACCGAGAATCGCATCTTCGCGTTAGCCAACATCTATAGTACATGAAAAAAAAACTAGGCTTAAAAACATCCCTTACTTCCACTGTTCTCGTTTTTTTACTTCAATATTTCTGTCTGACATATGCATTATTGCTCAAGTTTCACGAGCTGGCTTGTTTCGGATATACAAGTTCTTTTGTGAAGTGAATTGTGGTATCACTCGGGAACTATATCATAGCTGATATTTCGTATAGGGCTTTCTTGCGATAAAAAATCGAGATTTTTGGTTTCATTTTTGTTCGGTTTCAACACACTGCTCCTAAAGCACCTGAAATCTGCACAATTTTTGTGAAATGGTGGTGCTTTACGGGAGGCCGGAGCTCACGCATTAGGTGAAAGGGTTCACAAGTCATGATGGGGGCTTCATATAGTGCCGGCCCATGGACCACATGCGTCCCACGGCCTGTAGGATGACCGCGCCTGCTCCAGATACGTATACATGATTGTGCCTTCTTGACCTCAAACATCTCTATGCAGTGCTTTACCCTCTCCTTCGGTCCCCCCCCCCCCCCAGCCGCAGTGGTTTAGAGGCTAAGGTACTCGTATGCTGACACGCAGGTCTCGGTATCGAATCCCGGCTGCGGCGGCTGCATTTTCGATGGAGGCGGAGATGTGGTAGGCCCGTGTGCTCAGATTTGGGTGCAATTTAAAGAACCCCAGGTGGTCGAAATTTCCGGAGCCCTCCACTACGGCGTCTCTAATAATCATGGCGTGGTTTTGGGACGTTGAACCCCACAAATGAATCAATCAATCAATCTCCTTCGCTTCATCTTCTGCACCCTCACTTCCCTTTGCTGACCACTTTGAAGCTACCAAAACAATCTAGGAGACAGAATAAAACACGCACGAAACATAAATACTAATTCATAGATTATATCAAAACTAGCTAATGAACTTTCTCGCTTTAAAAAGGGCCTCATTTCAACAGTAACTACACCATGATACCAGAAGTTTAGGGGATATAGGTCACACCTATATCTCCTAAATATAGGGCATACCTATCATACAAACAATACCTTAACCATGATTGAATTGCTCCAAAGTGGAGCAATATTCTAAGCATCGTAAGCAGCTCTTTTTTTTTGTCTCTCATAAACCAGAGATCACAAGGAAAAGGGCTCCATAAGCGTCAATTTACAGACAATGGCTCTGAAGAAGGACGCGAGCGTGATTCCATCAACCTATCCCTTGTCATCTTGATTGCTGTGGGACTGGGACTGTGTTGCAGCGTGATATTCTTCGTAGTCACCTCCACCAGGCAGATATCAGAGGACTCCTCCACGGTGAGTGACTCAAGGCATGGTTCATGAGTTTTCGTAGTTTGCTGAATACATGTGCATCAACGTACACACAAAGAAGGGCTGCTTTGGCGTGCGACAATCGACAATCTTGACAAGCACTGCTTCACCTTTCCGCGTCATTACGTATTAACATGTTCTCGACACCATGGTAAAAACAGTATGTCACAATCTATTTCACTGGAAGCGTCTTCCAAACAGCACTTTTGAACAAATGCTCTCAAAACTGACGTGTTTATAAAAATTGCTGTCAGGATGCGCAAGGTTTTTATAAATGGGGTTTCAGACAATAGAGAGTGTGTGCCGCTATGTGATGAGTGTTAACAGCATGTCATCATAACGCAGGTACTCAACGTCAACAAGGAGATGTTTAACGCAGCGTGGGGTACATTGAATTGACTCATTGACGAAACAGGTTAATTATCCTTTAGAATATAAACATTTGGGACGTTTTACACAATTTTCAGAAATCTCAATATAGGCCTGCGATTTTAGACACTCGACACAGAATTTTGATGGATATTTCAAAAGCAAGCACGCGGACCAGCAGGAATGTGGTTGCTCTGTGACGTCCGACCACAACAACCCGTGACAATGAAGTGACGATATTTAGACATGAGAACTTCGTTAAAAGAATTGATATTGCCATTCAAGCACAATGTGGTTATGACAAGTGGCAAGACGCTTTAGACGCACATGTGAACCACTTGTTTATTCGTTTTTCTTCTTGCGTACGAAGTGTAGTGCTTCTTCGTG